TTCTTCATATTTTTTGCCCTTATGGTTTTATCTATATCTATATTATTTGTATCCATGCCATTTTAAAAAAGAATAAATTATGATTATCTTAAATTTTTAAGAGGTACAACCAATTAATGATATTGTACAGATCTTCAAGCTTACAACCTCTCTCGATATACCACCAAATCACTTAAATTTCAAAATTACATTTTATACACTTAGTTATAATTAGTGATTTGATTTATTTTATATCCCTTATTTTTTTTTTTTTTTTTTTACACCATTATCATACTAGTTGTATACCTGCGCAATGCAGCGAGAGCTATGAATTTTAACGAATTTGAAGTTTCACTGGTTTTATAAGATAAGATTTAACAATGATATATGTTACACTTGGTCTTTATATATTAATACAATTTTGAATAAATAAGAGTTATGATTCCAATTACAGGCTATCGATGAAAAAAATTGTATGACAGTTTAAAATTCAATATATTTAAAATTCAACATATTTAAAGAACTCCACAAATATGTTCGATTTACCCCAAGAGCAAAAAACAAAAAACTTGAGTTTTAAATGAAAAGACAAAAAAAGATGAGTTTTAGAATGAAATTTCAACTGCTTCCTCTCTTTCTTGTCTAAAAACTCAGATTAATGTTGAATTAATCCATGTATATATGTATATATATATATATATATATTTCAAAAAAACCCAAGAACATATTAATTCAGAACATATTATACAGTGCAATTTGGACAACCTAACCCCAAAATATATAGTATATATATAAATAAATAATTATAAAAATATAAATCGTAAATATTAAAAATATTTTTTCACATAATATATATTATATAATAATATAATTAAGTCAAAAACTATTCAATATTAGACTCATTTCAAAGGTATTAACAAAACGATTATAATGGTGTAACTTGTTAAAATAAAAATGTATTTTTTAAACATGAATTTACCATACACATAATTAACATGACATTCTTGGTTCTACAAAAACCATACAAGTAATCAAGTACATTCACTGGGTACTTACATCCCTTCAAATATAAAAAGAATACATAAAAGACTACAATACAGCCATAGGTTTAGTGCTTTCATGCTTCGATAGGTTCAGCCATAGATTTATTTTTGCTGTCTTGCTAACCCCAACAGTAGTACAGTGTGTGCAGATCTTGTGGTTCAGCTGGTGAAGTCGGTATTGAGGCTAAGCCTTTTAAAAGGTTAGGTTCAAAGCTGAAACATACACCCAAAAATCTTTTACCTTATTGTCCTAACAAGTTAATTCACGCAATTGTTGGGCACATGAAGGGCAGAAACATAAAAAAACAATTAAATAACAATATTTGAAAAATACAAAATATTCTGTTAGACGGTGTTTCAGTCTGAGCATGGCATTTGCAGCACCGTCGCTTGGTTTGTGTTAGCTGATCATGAACAGCTAACGAATGAGCAAGATCAACCTGAAGAGTCAATCAATTAATTACGTTATGTGGTAAATAAATGGGAAATCAATAGAAATCTAGGATTCGGACACCAAATCACTTCGATCAAAAAAAACCCATTTCAATAGGTTCCATGTTTATAAGAACCATTTCAATAGACTTTTCACATAAAAACTAAGAACTGGTGGAAGAAAATTGTTAATCTATAACACAAATACACAATTAACATGAAGAAGGTTCTACTACACTATCAGAACATATAATACATACCAGGAAACAGATTATGCACAGATCAACAGGTGATGRGATGGCTAACAGTGAGAGGTATATTTCTGGACTTGAGTATGAAGATGGTTGGTCTACATGAAGTCCTCTTCCAGTTCTTGTAAGGATTTGTGGGTTGACGCAATATCTTTATTGAATGTCATTTTGTCGGCAACCATCAGATTTTTGTAGCTCCTTACCTCTGCTTGTCGCTCCTTTTCCAGCCTTTCCATCTCCTCTCGTCGTTTCTGCAAACATTATGTTATCATAGCATTGRAGGAAWCCWTTTTATACAAATGTAATTAAAACTATGCAAATCGGCTTGCTTTGTTCTTCCACCACTGAAAACCTAGTTCAAATGTATATAATTAACTTTTAGAGGAGGATGCCCTGTTACCCTGAAGCTGATCATCCAATTAGGTGACATGCTAAAACAGATTTCCATTCCTGCAAATCATGATCAAGCTCCTTATACTTAAGCTAAGCTGTTAACAGTGGTGCAATAGAGGTTTGYGGTCCTGGAAAGAATTGCGGCCGGTCCTAAATAGCGGTACCGAGAATTGGGGTGTGATTTACCGCCAAATGGCCGTTTTTTGCACAAAATAACTCCGCATAACCACTATTTGTGGTTGGGCTTTTTTATTTTGTCTAACCAGCATATATTGGACCTATTTAAATGATTTGGCCTTTATTTTGCACTTGTTTTATTAATGATTTAAGTCATTTAATCCGTCTTGTTATCTTTACTGAGATTATAAGATTTAGATTTTCAACATAGAGCATTCAACCAGGTTTCTTAAATTCTTCCACCATCATTCTATGTCTATTAGTGATTTCTTTTTTTGGGACTATTAGTCTATTAGCGAATTTCTTTTTCATATTGATTACACATGATATGTTAAGCTATTTATATTTTATGATATATATTATGTATATAATTCTAAATATTTATATGAACCACTATACCGCCACTTTACCACCACGATAACCGCTACATCACAGTAAAAAAACATAGCTCCTATAACCTGCTTAGGACAGCCAAAGCAAGATTTCAATGTCAATATTTCACATTTTACCCGTTTCTAGGTTGAAGAACAACAATCCAGAACAGTGTTGTAGATATATCACCTACTTGAGTAATCGAAATGTAAAACGACAAATTATTGAACCTCTATGTTCCTAGACGTATCTAAACAGAGAAATTTACTACTCAGTTGGCTAATTCAAGCAAACCTAGATATCACCGGATTCAAAATGACATARATGCTTTCGGTTTATCTGCAAAAATGCTTCTACAATAATTGTACTTTTAGCAATCAATTGTCGCCAGAGCCAAACTCCTTCGTATCAGTTCTGAAGCGAAATTCAGACGGAAAAAAGAGTTCTAACGAATGGTGAAACCTTGAAACTAACAGAACTTATAGCCTAACTTGAAACTATAAACCAATAACARGAAGGAGCTGAAGTTCAACGAAACACTATTACAACATACCGATGCAGCTATACGAGTAGATTCAATTGACCTAAATCCTTTGAATAGCATGTTCGATAACGCTCTTGCCATCGTATTAGACAAACGATTMTGCACCAAATCAACAGATAAGATGAAGTTATTAATTACTTCAAACGAGGTGGCTTATAACGTTGAYGAACAACAAATTAATCAATTGTAATCATTCATTTATAATGGAGGAAGTATAGATTTAACAAGATATTTTAGACAAATCTTATCGATGTATGAAGGATTCACGGTCTACCKACRATGATCTTTTTCTCTTTCTCTTTGCGATTCTCTGCTCTTCACGACTGTGGAGCAACTGGACATGCTTGATTTCTCTTTAGCTTCGAAAGGAAATGTGAAAAGCATAGGCCGATATACTGGAGACATTTACATTGCAAAKAGATTCTATCAAGAAGCAACAATCTATAAAAGTTAATCTAAAATTAAATACAAGCAAGGATAAAAACAGGGGTYCTGGGAAATTAATTTAGGAACATGCGATGGATAATCAAATCCGGAGAAGAATGTAGAGAACCCTAACGTTCTAATCAGAAACCATTACCTGAGATGGAGCGATGGATAATCATATCCGAAGAAGAATGTAGAAAACCTAACATTGTAATCATTCCAGTAGAGAAGTAGAGATCGAGAACGAATCCGTGATGACAAAACGTGAATCGCCTCTTCTAAAACATGGATCTGGTTCAAGTTGTTTGAAATTGAAAAGAATGAAAGACATCGTTGCCTTGGGAGAAGGAATCGACGTTTTGGGAGCCGGAATCAATTTCTTGGGAGCAGACATTGCTTAGGGAGAATCGACAGCGTGCGATAGAGAGAATCAGTTGCAGTGTAATCGTGGAAAGCGTGCGATAGAAAGAGCAGGAGGTTGGGCACRGTTGGGCAGAGTTGTGTTGGGAAGAGGAGAGTCGTTTGGAGTGGGTCACGTGATGGTAGTATAGATATGTATGAAAGGAACCTGAAGCATTATTGAAGTGGGTCACGTGATAGTAGTCTTTGTGGTGTGCCGATCATGGTTTTCTTTTTGAATGGGCTCAGATTTATGGCATAATAACTTGTAGTTTATGCATTAAAGGTAAAGGGGTATTTATAAATTTAAGACTTTAAGACTTTGAGTGAAAATGCTTTATAAAGTAGTATAAATTAACATAAATAATCGTATATCTGTAGTATATTAAAAAGCAGGAGTTTTAATTATTCATGAATTTTTAAGAGGTACAATTAATTAAGAATATTGTATAAGTTCTTAAAGCTTACAACCTCTCACGATCTTCCATCAAATCATTTTCAATTTCAAAATTACCTTTATACCCTTGTAATTAGTGATTTGATTTACCTTATATCCCTTACTTTTTCATTTTTCATTTACATCTTTATCATATTAATATAAAGAATCGTATATTAACTAAAATGCATTTAAAAAATGCGTTTCTTTTAAAAGGCAAGAACAACAAATATTTTGGGTTAAAAACATTATTTCAAAATCTTTGACCAATGAACCATTTTAACTTTGAATTTATAAATCATCTTATTTATGATTTAAAATCACAACAAACTATAAAATTAGCATCGAAAGGGACGGAAAATAAAACAGAATTTGAAACAATATTGTCGTTTCAGGTTGTCGACTTCATTATCAAAATAATTTGTGCAACGTCGTGCACAGATATGTTGCTAGTATTTCTAAACAGACATCGTAAAATTTATTACTTTAAATAAGTAAAGATTTATCAGAAATTTGGAATAGAAATTCAAGCACTAAAAACAAAAACACACCAAAAAGAGCACTACTGTGATCTTTATTTCCGTAAAAAAGAATCCACAATTCAAACCAAATTGAAATATGATGGCGTTAAAAGATGTTTTAAGTACTAAATAAATAAACGTAAAGTGATTTCAAGCTCCTAGCGGTCTGTATTTTTGAAGCATCATATAGAACTCACTGATTATTTCATTCGTTGGGATCACACTCTTAATGGCTTCATGTGACCATATACGTTTTGTCCATTCTACAAGTCTTGGAGTTCGGACTTCATCAAAAATCTTGAACTTGTTTTCTTTCTCAACAAAATATGTCCAGCTAAGAAAACATCCAAGAACAACATCCAAAAATCCGACATCATCTCCACCGAAATAAGCCTTCCCCTTGGAAGTTTTCACAAATGCTTCCTCCAATACTATCGATCCTTCGATGATTTCTTGTTTTATTGCTTCTTTCCTTTCTTTCCCTTGTGTGATCCTCAATTTTTCGTATAATGGAAAAAACTATTGACAAATTTTCAATATATATTAACAAAAATATATTTATGACTTGATAAACAACAATAATATATATATATATATATATATTGTAATTAAATTATAGAGAAATTTCGTCCAGTAGTTTGGTGAAAATTATGGTCCTCAAACGAAATCATTGCAAGGGTGGTTGCTATAGTTTCAAAGCATTTTATGCTTTTTTTCATAACTCGTAATAAAATTAAAACCACAATATATAACCATTGTTGTAATTATTTATTAAAGGGCGTTTGTTTTGGATTGCTTATTTGAAACAACTTAGTAAAAAAACATTTATCAACTTATTATAAGTCAGAAAAGTTTAACTTCTTCAAAAACTCATTATTATCGTTTGGCACCGGTATAAGTTGTTTATCCAAATACTCAACAATGCTTATTATCTGTGTCACACTAAAATAAATCAAAAAATTATTTTTATATATCCCAAAAACCCTTTTAACACCACCTATCCGTAAATTTCACCTAACCACAAACATAGAAAATTGTAACCTACTCTTGTATAAACTATAATATTTTATTATTTGTTTATTGCATTAAATGGACTTTGGGTTTAAGAGTAATACACTAATACCATAACCCCAAAAAGGTAATTAAAAAAATTATAATAATTCTTTATATTGTTAAAAGAATATGATAATTTAAACAATTATAGACACTTTACGGAGAAAAAAGATTTTATCCATATTTTTAAAAGAAAACAATTTATCTAGAAAAAATCATGATCTTTAACATACCTGGTTATCGATATAGTGGGCCCAAAACCGATTGTTAGCTCGCTCTGCAGGGGCCGAAGGGAAGATGGGATGGACATCGGGTTTGATTTCTTCTAGGTACTGGATTATGACAAGAGACTCACAAGTGGGTGATTCATTCGCATGTAAAAGGACTGGGACTTTCTTATGAATCGGGTTCGATGTCAGTAGTAGCTCACTTTTACAAGCAAGATTTTCAGCAACAAACTCGTAATCGATGGACTTGAGGTTGCAGACGAATTGAACTCGGTTAACATATGGACTTGCAACAGTTCCAAGAAGTCTTATTTCACTGTTTTTCGTCATTGGAAAAGAGAGAATAAGAGATGATGAACATTTGGAGAACGAAGGTGCTACATATATACAAAAATTAATTACATGTGCCCCCTAATGTTTAGCAAAATGACAAAATCGGCCCTAATATATGAGTCTTTGCATCTCAAACATTGTATCAAAATGTGCTAACCAAACGAAAATTATGTAATCATATCCTCTTAAATCTATACATTAAAGAATCAAATTCAAAATCTAATATCTGAAGGAAAAAACATTGATGAAGTGATGGCGAGGTTAAATTTTAGGAGCCATGACGATGTCATTAGAGAATCAAATTCAGAATCTAATATCTAAAGGAAAAAACATGATGAAGTGATGATGAGGTTAACTTTAGGAGCCACGATGATGTCAAACCTCAAACATTTGGAGCCGCAACGAGGTTACAACGTTATCCAAGACATGGTATTATGGTGGTGAATATGTATGTTATATATATAGTGAACACAATGTAAACAATCTTAGATTCCCTTACTGGGGTGTTCACAAGATTCACTTGGTGTTCACGGGTTTAGTTTATTTATGATTTTCTACTTACATATAATCAAGATTTTCTACACACACACACAGAGACATTTACACATGATTTTTTACTTACATATAATGAGGTTCAAACGAGAACATTAAATAAATAAAAGAACACAAAAACGATTAAATCAAGTATAATTTTACACTAAAAGTCAACGTAAGAGTGTGTGAGCGATGTGCATGCAACCCGTGTGAATCACATGTGATTTTAAATATAATTTTAGTGTAAAATTACATGTGATTCAACTGTTGCTATATTTGGTTATTGTTTTAATATGAACCTGAATAGTTATTAGTCACTAAGTGTTATATTAATAATTTAAAAGGTAAAAGTATATAAGACAAATTTTTAAGAAACAAATGAAAATTTGAAGTCAAATAAGCTTTTAAAAAGTGTTGCATCTCCGAACATCATGGCACACAATGGATTACACAGCTGTTTTGGGGTTTAACATATCGTTGGAGATTGGCCTTTTGGAATAATGGCTTTAATCACATTAAGATTATAATAATTAAAATAATCTAATTGTTTTATTAAAAAAGAAAGTCAGATTTGATTTATAGCACAAAATAAGGAATGCATCGCAAGTTGGTAAACCAAGTTTAAATTAATGCACCATGATTACCATATTTATATATAAAAATAGGTTTACGTTATTTATCATTCAGCCAATACAATTTTATTTATAATACAAAGGAATCCGATGTAAGTGGTTAATTACTTAATTGAGTCTAAATTAATTAATACAAGGATTATAACAATTTATTCTTTAAAATTGTTCAATCAAAGAAGTCACAATATTTTTATAATATAGAGCAATTCATAGCAAATCGGGGACCATATAATAAATAAAGAAAACTAGATTTAATTTTATCTTATCTTATATTATGAAGCTTCTGTAATATTAATATTAATTTAATTTTAATTTTGTTTGTTTCTTTCATTATTTTGACAACCATATACTTACCATTTACGTCGAAATCATTATTGGTTTATTTGCTTAGTGTCCTTCAAATACTTGGAAAATGGTTTATGGTTATGTGTGAGTTGTAATTTTAGTGGATATACTGATGTTTTGAAATACAGAAAGTATGTACTCGATCAAGGCACATGAATTCGTTTGATGTAGCTTATTAAAGGGTAAGTGTGAGCCTGAACCATTTGTCACAAGTGCGTGTGACTATAACTGTGTTCTATTGTTGCAACAAGTATTGGTGTTTATGCTTTGGGGTGTCATTACTGTTTTCATTTTCTAAGCTTTATATTGAACTATTTCATCTTACACATGTGTTAGAGGAAATTCACTATACCTTTGGTCTAACCCCGCTTTATAAAACTGAAAACTTTTTCAGGGAAGTATCTAACATGGGAAATGGAAAGGTGCGATCTTGAAGTATGATGTGAGGGCACTCTTTGTTAGATAGATAGTCGCCTAGAAGGTAATTCCTAGTTTTGTAATAAATCTCATCAGTGTTATTTTAAATTATGTTGCAACTCTTGAGATCTTGATGATATGTAGACGTTGAATTGTATTTGTAATTATCAGTTTATGCAAAGGTTATGAATTGGTTATTTTGTGTTTTCGGTTGCTTAAACATCTCAGGCTAACCGTACCAGATATTTTTGTCCACACACCTGGACTCATGGTTTTAGGACACGTCTAATAGAGGAGGTATCAAACTCTTTATAAGGCAATCCTTATTCCCCTCCCTAAACCAATGTGGGATCTTACATTCCACCCCCTTAGGAGCCCAACATCCTCGTCGGCATACCAATCAGACTAACCGTACTAGATATAGTCCGCTTAATCCACACACCTGGACTAATATCTTTGGCTCCTTTTGAAGCGTAGAAAAGGTCAAGTATACGCGATTTCTCACTAAATTAAAATTAGGGAAGTTAAGGATTTAATACCCACACCCAGAAGGATATGGGGGATGACAGATCTACTAAACGAAAGTAGTTGGGAGTACGGGAACCGTCGAAGAAGTGACTCAACGCGCTGCAGACCTTCATGCCCATTTGATTGAGTGCATTGCAGTTTGTATCACCACTCCCAAGTTCCGGTTTCAAAACGCGTCTAATAGAGGAGGTATCGAGCCTCTCATGAGGTGACCTTTGTTCGTTTCCTCAACCAATGTGAGATCTTACAATAATATGTGGATGTATTGGAGGAGACAACCCTCAATAGAATATTGATGTGGCTTAATATGGTAGGAAGGAGATTCACCTCATTTTTACAGCTGAGATTTTATCTCGACATGACGGAACTGTAGGATTAGGCTGAAGAAAATTTCCCATAAATTAAATATTGTTTAATAAATTTCTATATGGAATAATTTTTATAGTTAACACAAAAATCAAGTAATATTTAAATTACTTAATTTATAAATATTTTTACACAATTTATATGAATATATACACACACATACACAGATAATTACATACATATATCTAATATTACTAAATCTGAATAAGAATTTGATATAAGTGATGGTAATTCGAAGAAACTCGACTCGTACAAAGGAAAAAAAAACTATATTTTAATCAATTTGGAAGGTCCTTACAAATTGGCAGAGGCAACAATGGTGGTGGTCGATGGCTGTGGACAGTGGCAGACCCAGGAAATTCTTTGAGCAGTTGCACCTTTAATGTGGATCGAAGGTCTGCAAAATCATGGTTTCACCTGGGAGAAAGTTAATGGGATTTGACCTATGGAAAAGTCACTTGTGTTAATTTGAGGAATAAAATACATGTACACAAATGGATTTGACCCTGATCCTTCAAATAATTATATGTTGCATTAAAAATAGGATAAAAACGTGATGAAGTTATAGTAATGCTCATAGTTGTATTTGAGGTTGTGAATTCAATCATTCTAACTATATTTTTGCCGTTAATATTTTCAGAAATAACATTGTAGGACATGAGTAAGTACTTTGGGCCAGCCTTGTAGCCAAAAATTAAAAGATAAAAAAGGTAAATTTCACATGAAATATTCAAATTCATGACCTCTTGTATCAAAGAGAAGTGTATACCAGGATAATGGTAACATAATTAATGAGTATATAAAATTTGGGTTTTTGATCAAAATATTCAATGTTATCGCATCCAGTGTGTTGCGAGGAAATGGGATTATCTCATCATGTCATGCGAGAAGTTATATGATGCGACAAGTTTTACTTCTAATGTGTTTGTCAAGTTATTGGGTAATTGAATGCGATAAATGAGGTTGATTATATCAAAATGATGTATATTTCTTATTATTATAAATCTGATTTCATAAATGTGATTTGGTGATTATTCACCTTGTAATAGCATCAATGAGATTTCTCACAAGATCTCAAGGTTTAATCCTCATTTTGTGTTTTAAAAATGTACATTATAGGTCTGACACATCCAGAGGACAAGGAGAAGGGAAAATTGTGAAGTGATATATTCTTTTGTATCTGAATACTTGTTATGCATTCATGTGTGGTACAGTGATTTTATGGAAAAAGTTGTTAGCTATTTTGTAATATAGTTTTTGTAAGAGATTGAGACCGAATGTGTAAATTATATTTCTTGATATACGAAAATATATGTTTATATGCAAATATGATATTGGGTTGTTACACCATGTAATTTTTGCACGAAATATTTTTGATAAAATAAAAAAAACATTTTTATCCCATGCAACCCCACCCAGTCCTAGTTTCTTTTACATATCGTGTCAAATGTGAATCAATGAGTTTTTATCCAATGAGATATCATATCAAACATGTAACAATGAGTTTATGTTCTGTCAAACGTTATGCCAAACTCGAAACTGTGAGTTTTTATTCCGTCTCATATCGCACCAAACATAGAATAATAATTTATGTTCTCTTGTTTAATCCAACAACTTATAACACTTTTTTCTCCATTTTATTCAGTTCTATGTTCTTTATTTTCTTTATACAAAACACAACTGTGTTTTTAAAAAATTAAATAAATGCATTGATATGATTTTAATTGAAAAAAAGCAATACCACTTTAGTAGTCGTTTTAGAACACAAAATTACTATATCATCTTATTGTCATTATTAAAATATTAATATGGTCAAGTTTTTTTTTTTCTTTTCAAATGGATAATGTATTACAAAATTAAATTTGTAGTACTAATAATCAACAAAATTAATGATATAAAGACGCATTAGTTATTTGCCGTTAATAAAAATTAAAAATACTCTTTAAAACATGTTATAAATTAAACTTAAGCATCGTTTGTAAAATGTTTATCGGATAAGCGTTTAAGCCATCAATACCATCTTTACTTACTTTATCGAATAATATTGTCAATCCATTAAAACAGATCGTTAATAACAGTACTTTATTTGATAAACGTTTAGTACATAAAAGTTATTTTCCTTTATTTATTTAATAAGATTCTTGATTTATTTTCATTAATTTTTATGGATAAAAA